CCTCTCTCACTGTGTCTCTCTCTGTCAAATAAATAAATAAAATCTTTAAAAAAAAAAAGATTTAATAGGATGATCATGGATGCTGACTGGTTTTTTAGATGAAAGGGTTCTAGGCCATTGGGGCAGCAATGCTCTGTTCTTGACTTCCCTGTTCTCTGCTCCTCATGGGTCCCTCCCTGTCATTAGGTGAGCTGGCCCAGACTTTCTGCTTTTCAGCTCAGTAACCCAAATTATACGTAAAGCACATTTTTAGTGTTTTCCATTCTTGGACAAAAGTTTATGTGGGGGTAACAAGGAGGGCAAGAACGAAAACAGAGCTAGCTTGTTATGAGATAAAGAAGTATTCTAAAAAGCAGACCACAGATCATTTGTATGCAAAAGAAAATGGACAATTTCGTGCCCACGAGAGTGCTGGGCCCCCACCAGCCTCGCTCGGTGCGTACCTGGCTGACCAGTTCGGGTATTCCGAGAGCTCTGTCAATCTCCTCGAGGCCATCGAAATTCCGCAAGGCCAGATAGAGCTGGTCCAGGAGAGCTCCTTCATCACTTGGAGATTCTGCTGCAGGATGTGGACACAGCAAGTCATCTGGAGAGCTGCCAAATGGCTGCCTGTAAAGAGACAAACTTCATCTTGGGCCATGGAAAAGCTAGTAGATTAGAGAATATTTTTTTTTCTCTTAAAAGTTGATTAAAGTCAACCAGTTGATTTCCAGGGTCTTTGTAATAAAATACCGTACCGGCCAGACATAGAACAAAATGACAACTCCCAATAACGGACACACTTTATTCAGGGCCTAACACAGGCCAGACCCAAATCGAGGCATCGGATGTATAGTTTTTGTTATTGCCCCCGCTTTAAAGCTGGCAAACCTAAATAAATGTATCATCACCTTGTAATAAGAAAAATGCTTCTAAAAATAAGAGACATACAAGTAAAGCTGGCAAAGCTGAGGCTTAGGGAGGTAAAGCCACGTGTTGGGAGATCACACGCACCGACACCGCAAAGCCGGATGCCAGCAGAGGCCCGTGCGGTTTCAGGGCCCGCCTGATGACTGTATTTCCACAAATTTACAGATTTCTCAGGTATCTATATATACACTTTCCCCTGAAGTAATCAAAGGATTTTTCTGAACTTTAGTAGGAAAGATAAATTGGAGCAGCCATGTTTCATACGAGGCTGTGATGACCCACCTGGGCGAGACTAGAGACCTATAAGCATAAAAGCCACATTAATTTTTTTGAATTCAGCTGTCGCTAGACTACCTTTGGCCAGACTAATAGGAAATTTCTTAGTCATGCATAAGCAGGCCTTGTAAACATTTCTTAAAGCCCTCAGGAAGTGTGGCTCTCAGCCTTTCTGAGTTAGACAGTCAAGAAAAGTAGATCATGAATATACAAATTATATTTGTTATTATATAAGGTCATAGGTGATATAACCATAACACTGAATTCCAAACTCTATGGTATATAAAACTCCTATAATTTAAATCAACTGACAAGTTGGAGGGGTGTTTAAAAAGAGCTTCCAAGTTAGTTTAATATCAGAAGGGGAAAATGACGCTTGTGTTTTGCCAAAAGAGTCTAATTTGTACACTTAGAGTTACCATATGATGTTCTGGAGAAAAGACAAGTTTACGAGTAAGTAACTTCATTCTTTTTTTTTTTTAAAGATTTTATTTATTTGACAGAGAGACACAGTGAGAGAGGGAACACAAGCAGGGTGAGTGGGAGAGGGAGAAGCAGGCTTCCTGTGGAGCAGGGAGCCCGATGCGGGGCTCGATCCCAGGACCCTGGGATCATGACCTGAGCCGAAGGCAAACGCCCAATGACTGAGCC